TTTCCTTGATTTCAGTTTCCCTCTTTAAGGAAGAAAGGAAAGTATTTTCCTGGACACCAGATATGCTGAGTTGGGACATGAGCTAAAGAAAGAGGTGAGGAAACCTGCAGAGAACCCCAACATGCTCCTCATCTTTGAATCCCAGCGAACCTTTCCACTGCGTGTGTCTGTGTATGTATATCTGTGTATAAGTGGTGATGGGATAGGGGGTTGGTGGTAGGATGGTGGGATTGCTGAGCGGGAATAGGCAGTGGGAATGTCAGGAGTATTTTTCTTTTTGTTGTCTTTTGAGACAGGAACTCACTCTGTTGCCCAGGCTGGAATGCAGTTGCTGATCACCTGCGGCCTCCTGAGCAGCTAGGACTACAGGTGTGCACCACCATGCTGGACTAATTTTTAATTTTTTCGTATAGATAGGATCTTGCTATGTTGCTCAGGCTGGTCTCAAACTCCTGGCTTCAAGCGAGCCTCCCCTTGGCCTCCCAAAGTGCTGGGATTGTAGGCATGAACCACTGTACCCAGCATGGGAGTATTTTTCGTCCCTTTCAGAGATTCCAATGAATTGTGAGGAGCATAGGAGGGAGGAGAATTGAATTTTTACTTCATTTCTGCCATTCATTTTCTCTTGTGCAAAATCAAGGTTTGGGCTTGATGGGCTATCTTCAAGTTTTTCTCTGGTTCTAATGTACTGATTCCATAAGCAAATTAAAGAGCTCATGTAAACAGTATGATGCCTGGTACAGGGTGGGTGTTCAATGAATGGCAACTATCATTATTATTCACCCAGCTCTTTATGTTCCTGAAAACCTGGAACTCCTTCCTGTCTGACCCACTGCAGTGGTGGAGAGGATCAGGGGAGGTAATGCTCATGGATGTACTTAGGAGACATAAGGTGGGCACAACCATCATGGAGCCATCTCTGCTCTCCCCGTCCCTTCAGTGTGCATGGTCCATGCCACTCAGTCATTCCTCACCCACTCTACAGATTTTACTGAGAATTGCTGTGAGCTGGGCACTGTTCTAGGAACTGCAGACACCATGGCTAGTAAAACGGGCAAAGACTTGCCATCTAGAGCTTGTTTGAGTATGGAGCAGAGGGTCAGGGAGAAGGGAGATAAACAATAAACAAGTAAATTTACACTCTTTTATTCCGAATCGTCTTTTCACTGGTCTTAACTCCATGAGCACAGTGACAGTGTCCTATGTGTTTTCTATTTGTTTATTTGTGTTCTCCACCTGCTTTCTTTCTTTCTTTTTTTTTTTTTT